GGTTGGTTTTTTATCTACTTTCCTTAAGCATTAAGACTTATCTGATGACAGTATTTCCTTTTTGTTAAAGTCCTTCTAATAATTATTATTTTACATACTGATTACTTTCAACTAAATTTGGTACAGGTGTAGATGTCTCAAAGATAAGCACAGTCTTATTTACTTCGTATCAACAGCTTGAAATGGAACAGTGGCCCAAAACTGTGCCTGTACAGAAAAGGCAGTGGCCAGTGCATACCAAATGTATACGCTGTTTGGTAGCAGCCCATTGGTAAATCAGCACACACATGGTGGTCAGCCAGTATGCATAAATCAAATTACTTTCAGTAGGTACAGTAGGACATGTATAGGACTTTGGGAATAGTAGGGATGTGGGAGGAAGCCAAAAATACAGTACAGAGTAGACTATGGACGCAGAAATGACCTGTGAGTATCTGGGGTGGAGTGGGAAAGGAGACATGGGATGGTAACCTCTAGAAAACCAGGTTTGATTAATTATGGTGCTCTTGGAGCAACCTGTCTTTTATACCTTTACTTTGGGATTTTTTTTATTATCTGCCTTCAAAGCTGAGCATAAGGAACTCCTAGATTGTCTTGTATGGAAAATTTGGCACATAATTTTGATAATAAAGAGGAGTCCTCAAAGTCCAGAAGTTGGACTCCTCGCCTGTTTTTCCAAATGACTGTGGAGGTTCAAAGCCATGTATGATTTCCCATGGGTAAAGATTCATTCTGAGAAAGTGGGGTTTCACTGGGATAAAATTACCTGAGGCAAAAACTGAGCAGTGCATTCCATGTTGTGCAGAACAGAAGTGACATAAATCCATGCCAAGCTTCCTATTAAAAAGATGTCTGTTAAAGTCAGATTTGTCTAGTGTGCAGTCTTGCGGGCTGGTCTCTCTACGACATCTCTATGATTTTACCATTTTATTTATCAGTTTATTTGATTCCCTAGCTCTTCACCAGCACAGAGCGGGAAAACAATCTTACCTCCTATCCAAAGTATTTTAAAAAAATATGAACCTTTCTATTCATTCAGTTACCAAAGACCACATTTTTAAAAATATTTAATTTCCTCAATATAGGCACAGGCCTACTTAATCAGAAGTTCCATCCACTTATCTGCTTATTCAGGTGTCTAAATGACTTTCACAATCTATCCTGAAGCCTTACACACCTCAAGCAACTATAAGAATTCTTTAGCAGTACTTAAATGACAAGTTGAAATAGTTTTCTAAACACTTATATTTTTTGCATTTTTCCAGTGATTATGATGATATGCTAAAATATCTTGTTTCCCTTGAGTATGTATATTGGGATTAAGAAATCTCTATAAAATATATTATGCCAGCCAATCTAATCAATATAATATATTTTGTAGTTGTTTAGGTTTTTTAGTTTCCTGGACTCATCACATTTCTGTCTAAACTATTGAACCTGTATTCATACATAACTCCATAAGTAGCTTCTGAAAGGTAATTTTCTACTCTATTTTAGCTTCCAGGACCAAACATAGGAGTACATAATATTTTCTGTTTCTAACATAGTATTTGATTTTCAGTAAGTGATTTACCAAATAGATGTTTCCATCTGACTCTTAATGTTAAAGCATAGTAAAGAAGCCTGAAAAAGAAATCAAATGTGTATTTCTGCTGCTGTGCTTACAAATATTATGCTTTTGCAAATTTTTATGCAAGTATTTTGTAGTTTTCAGTGAATTACCTAAAAGTGATGCTTATGAAAGTTTAAATATATTCGATCTTTCTCCAGATTTCTCCATGTAACTCTTTGTTAGGGAATGAATACCATTACTGACATCATCTCATCTGGTGTCCTTTAATCTTCCTTGTTCTTGCTTACATACTGGAGATTTTTAGTTTTGTATAGAAAGTAATTGAACTCAATATTTGCTTTACACATGCTACTATATATTCCTGAGATGCCCTTTTTGTGTGTTTTTATATAGCTTCATCATACACAACAAAGATACTTTCTTCAATAATGCTACAAGAAGTAGAATTGTACACCATATCTTACAAAGAGTGAAATATGAAGAAGGGAAAAACAAAATTGGTAAGTGCTGAGCGACGTGCTTTTAAACATGGGTGCTAAGTCCGACCAAAAAAAGAGAAGTCCATCTGGGCTCATAACAGTCTTTTTCTTCCTTTTTAATCACCTCAGCTTCAAGCTGTTTACATCTCACCCACTGCTGTTGTAGGGGCTTTGCCTGGATGATCTGATCATTTCCCTATAATATCAGGCTGCTTTCACAGGCACATATGTCACCACATGGGATTTATCACCTCTGCAAGGAAAGAGACTGACTTAAGCAAGAAATAAGTACAGATTAAAGACCCTGGAGAAGCAGATAGACTCATGCAGAAAAGCTTTTACTCCTTCATAAAAATGTATTTGGAAGGATGGAAAGATTTGTGCTACTGTACATCTCAGCCTGTAGGGCTTCTCCCTGGATACCTGTCCATCCCTAAGGGACATGGAAGGTTCTGTATCTCTGTAGCTTCTGTAAGTCAAAAGGGAGTTCACCAATGACATCCTCTGTGTAAAGGATGCCATGCATAACTATGGCATCACTTTCAAATAGTGGGTCAAGTGGACCTTTGGAGCAGCATTTACACGGATCCAGGAGAGCAGGCAGTGACAGAGGAGGGCTGGAGTACAAAACAGAGCACATACTACTTGTGTACCATGTAAAGAGTGGGGCATCATAAATGGAGAGACAATCCCCATAAAACTCTGCAGCCTATTTAATTTCCCTGCTGTTTAAACTTCATCCTTCCTCAAGAAGTAGAGACACATCCCAGAACTTCAGTTGCTTCTTCCTCAGCTCCTGGGATGAGATCAGCAATAGCTGTGAGTAATGACAGTGAGCAGAGGGGAGAGAAGAAAGGGGAGAATTCATGCAGTGTATGCAGCCATTGCATCTAGCACACACACTTGCAGTCCCTGCCTGCCTCAAGACCCCAGGCTCCTTCACATATCTACTTGCGTTGTACCTACCATGAGCATAACCTTGCATTGATCACTGGGCAGAGCAAAGCCAGACTTTGGAAGAAAGCATATTCTGCCAAGTAGATACTAATGCAATCACTGAAAGTGCTATTTATGTCAAATTAATACTTCTCATTGCTGTGTTCTTGCTGCTATCATTCCCCTGTGAATTAGGAATGGAATCAGGATTCTTTGCCTCTCGTTCAATAGGCTTCAGATGCCTTCAGTATTTAGTTTAGCATTGCCTGTTAGTTGTTCAGTCCTATTTTGGTGGCTTTCCAAGTGAAAAGTGCCCACATCTCAGCAATCATTCATTATTTCTCTCGAGGTTCTCATTAAAGAAGGACAAGGCCTGACTGAGTGGGGTGTATGATTACTTTATTGTGCCAAAAAGCAATCCTTTTGGTTCAGGTTCAAGTATGTCTTCTGGTCTTGTACTACTGCAGCCTGTCTTGTTCTTGTTCTATCTGTTAGTCCAGCAGCTTTCATAAGACATAAACCGAACATATTTTAAAATGTTTTTATCATATGAAAATTAAGAGTTTCAGTTGCTTTACTTGCCTGCAGTTCAAAAATTCAAAGATCTTCCCTGAAGTTTTCAGCTCCCAAGTAATAGAGCATTTCATCTAAATAGCTTCCTTAGACCATAAGTTATGGCATCAAACTTAGTCCTCACTGAGGTGTGAGGTCCCAGATTTCACTGAAGTTGTGCTAAAGATGGATTTGGCAAATGAATCATTAAACCTCTGGCATAATAAATGATAGATTATAATTAATATTTGAACAAGTCTTTGCTTGTATTATACATTAGTTCATCAAAATCTATCAGATGATTTTTTCTACATGTATCTTTTACTGCCAATGGGTTTCAAACTTCATTTAGCCAGCTTATTATGAAAATATATTTTGCTTTTTACTTAGTAGTTTTTCTGGTCCTATTGGTAAATAATTGGATACTTTTGATTCTTAGGTCTGAATCGATTGCTCAGTAATGGCTCCTATGAAGCTGCATTTCCTCTTCATGAGGTATTTTTCTCTTTTTTTCTTGTTGAACAGACATTTCCCACAAAATGAATTCTTAATTTTGTAATCATTTATTCTTAATCTTATTAATGTTATTATTTTTTTGCATTGTGCATCTACCTACGACATCCCTCCCGTTTAGTAATGCTTTTTTCTTGGAAAAAACATGGCGTTTTTTCTTATAAAAAGAGATGCGTAGGGAGAGTTGTTCTGGATCTGTTCTGTAAAAAGTATTTGGGTTTGATAAATCAGTATAGTTTCAGAGGGGGCAAATACCATGCTGTGGTTTTCTCTTTGAGATTCTCCAGGTTATAGCCTTTAACTTGAACACCATTTATCACAAATTTCTTAGGAAGAATAATCTCAAATCTTACTGAAGTCAGAGGAAATTGTTCTTTTAATGTCATATTTAGCTTTTCATGCACAAGTATGGAGTTTGCATAAATTGTGTGATCTATACCACTTTTGAGAGAGATTTCTTAGATATTATTTTTTGCTGCTGTTGTTCATTAATGTCTAGATTTGTATTTTAGGGAAGTTACAGAAGTAAGAATTCAATAAGAACCCATGGGGCAGAAAACCACAGACACCTGCTCTATGAGTGCTGGGCTTCCTGGGGAGTGTGGTATAAATACCAACCACTGGACCTTGTGAGGTAAGATTTTCCCGCTTTTAGTAAGTCATGTTATAGGTGCTTTGAGAATAGGTTATCTCTCTTCTCTCTTTTGTCAAACCATGAAAAGCTCAGTTAATTCCTGTGGGTTTAAAAACTGATCCTTAGGTCATGGGAATCTATTTCATTTAGGGTGCCACTACATTTAAAGAAGTATCAATAAAGGAACTTGTAGAAGGAGCTGAAAGTGAAGGAAGTCTTCTTCTGGAGGTTCCTGACATCATAACTTCTAATGAAGGTTTTGCAGAATATTTAAGAGAGAATAAAAAAGAAAGAGAAACCTGTGGAGGCTGGGTAGACTTGGTTGCATGTCTATCCACTGGAGGAGTTTCCTCCTCAGAGCATGGCTTTGGTGAAAAACAGTCTCTCATTGATTAGATCTTTTTTTTTTTCCAAAAAGCAACTGCAGAAGGAGCCTGGCTGAAGTTTAATGATGATTACAAAATGCATGGAGCAGAACTCACAGTCCCTGCGTGTGCTACTGTGTTCAGCAACACTAGGAGTAAATGGGTGGAAGTCTCTCCTGTAGCACCTACCTTAAACTCAATCCAGCCATGTCACCACAGTCTGGATTTGTATCCATCTTGGAAGTAGCCTGCAAAGAAGAAACACTGAGAAAGCTGAGACATGACTCCAAATTTTTTTGGGAAGGGTCATACAGAGCATGTAATTGGTCCAGCATATTAATTTCCCCTTTTATGTGTCCTATAACTGATAGAAATCTTCACTTTTACTCATTCTCTAAATTGTTTCCAGATACAAAGATTTATAGAGGGTAGCCCTGGAGACAGACAGCGTTATTTATTAAGGCCATATAAAACCTATCCATTTCATAAAACAGTTGTTGTTCAATTTCCATGGAGAAAAAGTTCACAGAGAAATACAATAAAAATTTTACTGAGTCATGTAATTTTTAAAACGCTTTAGAAAACAAAGTAATGTATTTCTACCTCATAATTTAATCCTGAAAGCTTCTTACTTATTTTTTAATATACTGGCCTGGACAGAAATATGGAATTTTTCTCAAGTTGCACTATGGAAATTGCTGATTTACTGAGGAGCCAACAGTTATATTGAAGTTTATTATTTTCAGTCTCTCAGTATACAATAACATATTAATGTCACAGTATAAACAACTGATGTCTATAAATGTTTTTTAATCATTTGTCCATGGTGGTCAAGGCTACTGTTCTTCGTAAACATTTCTTGTTTGTGAAAGTGCTGTTGAACCTATATATGGGGTTTGGTTTAATTTGGTTTATGAATACGGACCATCAGGTATCTGGAAGGTTTTTTAAGTATGAGAATAAATGGTAGCAGAATGGGCAAGGTTAGACACATGATTGTTCTGGGCCTTGGCAGAAGCCTTCCTGAGTAGACTGAGTTTGATGTTTAAGATTTTGTAAGATGCTTTAGCTTCTTATTGGTGACATCCACAGATTTTTCCACAGCTATTTTACAAAAGAAAAAAAAAAGCAATCAAAATAGCAGACCCCCTAGCTGAGGTGGTGGATGTCCTGTGGTGGTTCAGAGTAGGTGTTTACCTAGAGAGGAGGGGGGCAGGGGGAGCTGTGAGGCTCCCTGGGCATTCACAGCAGCGTGACTCTCTGTAGCCATCAACTCAACAGGGTTCAAAGCTGTAACCCCAGCCCAGCCTGCTGTTTGCTGCCTGGAGCGCACTCATGGCTGAGATGAATTCACTGAAGGAAGGGTGACAGGAAAGAGGACGGAATGCCTTTTTCTTCTCACTTCACAGACGCTAGATCCCTTGCATTTCTTTAGCTCCTGCCAAATCTTTCCTGTCTACTGCCACCCTCAGCAGCTCACGTGTCTAGTGAGCTGGGGAATTTTCCATGAGTAGCTGACAACACCAGCAAGACCCGTTGTTCATTTCACTCAGAAGTATCTCATCGTGCATACTTTAAACAGAAGCTTTTTTAGTACCAGTTCTGCAGCAGCAGCAACTTCTTTATTTTTCCCCATGCCAACAGCTATGTGGGGTGTGCTTAAAGGGAGTAGTGTTGCCATCTGTACAAAAGGAGTGAATGGATGTTAATTCTTCCACAGACATCTGCCCAGAATTTATTGCTGCTAGCTGACGTTCCCCTTTATTATACACTTTAGAAAGGCTAAGAAGTAAATTAGATTTAGATAAATAATTATCTCATTAATAGATATGATATTTCCACCTTAAAGTCAAGTTGCCACAATGGTAAGCGAAATTGTTCATACTTTGGTGCTGTTTTATTTTTTCCTTAGCTGTTAAAATGAGGCTTTACATCTCCAGTGCTGTCAATTTGGTGCCTCCCAGATTTCATTTAATCTCATCAGCTGGCTGTTATGGAGATACTAGTCACTAGAAATAAATGAGAAAAAGTCATTTGAGGGGAATTGCATGAGTCTGCTTTCACCCTGCTTTGAAACACGTGGCAGTATGAAGGCGCAGATTTGGCACAATTGCAAAGGCACTCTTATTAACCAATAGAAGTGGTACCATGATTTTAATTACACTTCTGTTGGAATTTAGGATGCATAGTTACTTTACAAGAATACTTTAAGATCCTTAGAATTGATAGCAGTTGGAAAGAGGCAGGACTTAGTATGTTTATATGCTCTGGGACCATGTAAATCAATGGAAAGAGTTGCAGTGATTCCTGGGGGCTTTGGTACACCTCCTTCACATTTCTGTGCATAGCTGCTTTCCTCTACCTTGTGCACAAATTGCTCCTGCTTCTGCTTGCGTGTGTTATTTACAGAACAATAAGGGAAGGAGAAAACTATATTTATCAAGTGATTGTAAAGCTACCTAAATGAACATGAAAGCCAAAGTAATGGCTGAGTAACTTGCCTTTTGCTCCATGTGTGCATTAAACAACTTGATTGCAGACTGACAACTCCCTTTCAATCTCCTGTCAAGCCTTCTTCCCCACCACATTGTTCCTGACATAACATGAGATCTTTATGTGTCCAAAACAGCTGTTGGAAAGCTCTAGCTTCCTCACAACTTGTTTCTGTGATGTAAAAAGTTCTCTATAGGATTTCGTTCTGACCTGCAAAGGGATTAATGAAGACAGATAGCTTCTTGGCTTGAGTCCAAAGCTGTCTATATTCTAGCTCCATTACTTCATTCCAGGCATCCTGAAAGCAAAAGATTATCTAATGAAGGTTGTTAAACACAGAGGAATCCAATATCACATTTTATGGGTCTGAAATCAGACTTTGTAGCTTAATACTTTTCAAAAATTTGTCTTGCTGATAAATACTGAGATTGAAATCTTGGCCTAGTTAATTCAGTGATAGTTCTACCAATGGAATGGGGTGAGGGGACAGTTCACCATTAAGGCAGGTGATATTGAAGGGCTAGTATACACACTAGGATTATACACACTAGGATAAAATGGAGAAGACAAAATTATTTTTTTATTATTATTCTAATGGCACAGTATATATGAGGATAGGAGAGATGGATTAGTCTATTAGCTCCTTGGGGTTTTTTTATGTCTCTGCTTTTTAGGTTAGTTGTGGAGGAAATTTTCTGTGGGAGAACCATGAAAGACACAAAAAATTTTTTTCTATTCTATTAACAACCTCAAAAATTGGATGGTAATGTTATCAAAAGTCAACAAAAATGCAAATGTTACCAAGGCTGGAAAATTTCAGAGAGGGCTTCAATGAGCAGAGTGATAACAGGTGAAATTTAGGTATAAGTCATGCACAGTGATGCACCCTAAAAAAGAAAATCCCTGGAATTCTTCATGTACGTTACTGACTTCCAGCTAAAGTGCCAACATGCAGGTAAGAGAACTGCTGTCACTGTAGAGAGCGATATGAAATTTCTGTTCTATATATATAGTGACAGAGAAAAAGAAAGAGCTTGTTCCTCATATTTGATGCAACTTTAGGGAAAG